AAAAAATCAGCCGGGCGTGGTAGCGCATGCCTGTAATTCCAGCTACTTGGAAGGCTGAGGCGGAAGGATCGCTGGAGCCCAGCAGGTCGAGGCTGCGGTGGCTGGGAGCGGCCACTGCACTCCAGTCTGGGCGAGTGAGACTCCAACTCAAAAAAAAAAAGGAAAAAGAAATACATTAACAACAAAAAAGGACTTAAAGGACATGATTCAGTCTTAAACCTAACAAGATGGGCTCCCTTTTATGTCTGCTGGGCTTTCGGGGGTTGCTGGGTAAAAAACAGGACATGAAAAGAGGCAGGAAATCAGCACTCACGAGATGCCAAGCCAAATGCAGTTGCCAGAGGTGTGCCAAGGAGCCTACCTCGAGAGAGAGGTTGCTCTGGAGAAATTCAGACAAGCAGCTTCAAAGGTTTGGTGCGTGTAGGAGTGGGGATCTCCCAACTTTAGGACACTGACCCCAGGATGTTGTCTGCTACCACCAGTGAGTACAGGCTACCTTCTCAGTAGCCACACTGCACCCCAGGGTTTTAGTTGCTCCCTTTCTGACATCCCATTCGCTAAGCAAGGCAGTGCATCTGGGTGGTAAAATACATAAAGGCTTTGGAGTCAGGTGGAACTGCGTTCAAATCCTGGCTCTAGTTCTTTTGTGCTGTATGACCTCTAGCAATTTGCTTAACCTCTCTGGGTGTCCATTTCTTTTTTGTAAATGGGAATGATAACACTAACTACTCATTGTGTGTGAGTAACAAGTGGAAGCACACAAATGCTTAGCGCAGTGCACACAATAAGAGCAAAATAATCGTGAGGTTGTTGCATGAAATTAAAGAATGAAAAACTATATGGAAAAGCATCTGGCTTTCTTTTCAGGGTAAGGAATTTTCTAAAAGAGAAAAAAATTGTGTGTGTATATGCATGTTTAACATATATGTGTATGTATATATGTATCTATCTATCTTTATCTAATCTATATCTATTTATATATTTATCTATCATCTCCATTTATCATCGATAGCTATCATCTATCAATCATCTATCATCCATCTATCTTCTATCTATCATTTATCTATCTATTTCTATGTAGCTATTGATCAAGAGTCCAATTCTTCTAGAATGGACTTAACTGTGGGAAAAAACTTAAAACTAGGGGTCAGGGCCTGGTCCAGGCCAAGTGCATCTTCACACTGATACTCTCTTTTTCTTACAACACCACCCTCACCCATCCCCGACCAGACACATTGTTCTTTCTCTGTGTCCATACATTGACCCTGAATTCCCTTGCAGCCGCAGCAGCTGTTGGTAGGTGCTGTAATGGGTTTTGCACGCTCCCCCACCCCCAAGTCTCTCTCTCTAGATACTGTGCTCTCTGATGCCAGGCAGAACTGCAGGTTCATCTCGGGGCACACTAAGCTCTGGGCACCTGGCAATTGCATGTGATTGAAAAATGATTATTGAATTGGATTAACCTCTATCAGCCCATCTGGCGGGCACTTTAACCAAACCCCTGTGATGACTGGGTGGAATGTGGCCTTAAGGAAAAGCTTCACATAGGCTGAGCTTCTGTTTATTAAATAAAGTAAACTTTTGAAAGCTCTTTATGAAATTTACTATTTCAAGAACCTTTCTTTGTGGATCCCTTTGAAGAGTCATGAGTAAATGCTTAATTTATCTCTTGGGCAAAATCTTACAAGTAAACAAATAAACCAGAAGAGGTCAAATATAGTGAAAACATATTTAGATTAAGGACCCAAAGTCAAGAATCCTAGTCCTGATACTTAATGACCTCAAAACTTATGTGGAAAACTATTTGGAAAGAATGAGTCTAAACAGACCATTCTGTTGATGAATTTTCATCCTTGTTATTAAACTGCTGGTTAGTTTGAGGCAGGTCTAGTTCTCAAGGTCTCAGTGTCTTATCTACAGAAGTAGGGGTTTGGACTCAAAGATATCTTACATGTCATTCCGCTCAAGCCTATTGCAGCCTGTAGAGTAGACCAGGCGGTCACCTCTGAGTACATCCTATGAAGAAAACGTGCATTTGTGTGTGTTTTTGTGGGGTCATGTGGAGGGAGAAGGGGTTGTCAGAAGGCCTTTATGGTTGGTTGATTTACAGGTGACTTCACTTTTCACCAACTCGATTTATTTAACATAAGATATCCATACTGTTAAACAGCTTGTGACTGTTTTCAAACTAAATTCTCCAGGTATGTAACTGAATTATGCATTTGCAAAGAGCAGCTTTCACTTTTCTTCCATATATATGCACATATGTATGTGTGTGTGTATATGTATAGTCTATATATATAGATGTATATATATACCATCTCTATATATTCTGTCTATATATAGTCTCTATTTAAATATATATATGCATACACAGTCATGCATCATTTAACAACTGTGATCTGTTCTGAGAATCACCTTAGGTGACTTTGTTGCTGTGCAAACACCACAGAATGACATACACAAACCTAGATGGCACAGTCTACTCCACACCTAGGCTACATGGCATGGCCTATTGCTCCCAGGCCACGAATCTGTACAGCATGTGAGTCTACTGAATACTGCAGGCAATTGTAACACAATGGTATTTGTGTGTCTAAACATAGAAAAGATATGCTAAAAATCCTTTGATTATAAAAT